ATATTATTCTCTTTAGAAACTTTGTTTAACATAAACTGTGACAAAGTTCAAAAAGCATTTATCAAGATTTCCAAATGGTTGTTCATTTGAAGCCAGTTGTAAAGGCATCTAGGAGCAAAGTAATAGATGTTAATCAATCATAGTGGACTCAAGTTACTATGCATGCTGGTTTTTCCTAGACTGCACTAGAATCTGAGGCTTATTTTATTCATTTCAGGAGACAGGTTGTTAGTATGAAAACATCTTACATTTTTGGTAGGGATATGCCTTTATAGAAGTGCAAATATGTTTGCTCTGTAAGCCTCAATGGATTTTGTGCTACCTGATACAGTTTATTTTTCAAATACAGGAAACTTTCTTTCAGTGGCTTGTCACATATTCTTTGGAATTACAATAAGAAGAGAAACAGCAAGGTAGGCAAGAAGTACAATCTAGCTGAGAGTCAAAAGGCCTTTATGGGTTAGGATGCTTGTTCCTTGCCCAATTACAAAATAAGACATGAAGATCTCATGCAAATAAAAGAACAAATGTGAGCCTGAACACAGAATGTAAACAAGCCTCACAGATGGCTTCCCACATAAAATGAGCATTCCTATTTTTATTACAAATACAATTTTCACAATATCAAATTAAATTGCAGTATACAAAGAATTCCATTTAAGGAAAATGCTTAAAACTAGATGCTCTACTGCGACAGAGGGCAATACTGGGAACACACAGGACACAGGGGGGCCTGAACAACCCCCCCCCCAGCACCCACAAAGCCCCTAAATAACCCCCAAAATAGGCTTCAGGCTAGGAGCGGCTGCTCCCGGAATTCCCCCAGGACCAGTCGGGAGATAGTCATAAAGGTCAGCAGACAGACCTGGAATGATGTATGTTTTTTTCTTTTTTCAATCTTTTGTTTTCTTTTTATTTGGTCTATGTCATTGTTGGTTTGCCTACTTACATAAGACAGGAACGGGAAGCAAGCTCAAGGAGAAAGCAAGAGCACCAATGGTCCCAGAGGGACTTGCGGGGAGAAGGTGGCAGAGGAAGGGTGCAGTGAAGAAACAATGCCTTAGACAGGGGAACAAGTAGGGAATTAAAACCAACAATAAGGAGGACGTAGCGATCCTGGGGGTGTTGGAGCAACAGCAATCTAACTGAGGGGAATTTCTAAGAGGTGGAAGTAGAGTGAGGGTGATGGTGGGACAGGAGGAAGGTAAAAGGAAACAGGAATGATCTAGGAAGCAAAGCTATGGATAGAGGGATAGGCATAGGTGTGTCCATATGTAAATACATTAATCCATGAAAATAGAGGAATTGGCCTATATACATATATTTATATGGCAATACACTGAGGTAGTGGACACACTTCGGACCTCTGCACCTACCCTGCCTCAATACAAGAACACTTTGTTCTAACAACCTGGCATTCTGTGATGCACACCCTCGTGGCACAATTGCTGAAGACAAAATGGGTGTAAAAGCAAGTGTGGTGAAGAAAGTCCAGCTATTAAAAGATACAGTCTCTGGGGTCTTAAAGGCCTGAAGTTCAACAAGCAGCCATCTAGCAGAGAAGCAACAAGCCCACATGGAAGAAGCACACCAGCCGGTGAGATCATAAGGTGTCATCAGGACCTGGTAACAGGCATCAGAAGATCCATAACAAACAAACAAAACCATATTGCTGAGAAAAGGGGGGCCAGAGCAAAGACCCAAAGCCCATCTGTAGACAATGGGACATCACCCCACAGAGGAGTCACAGGGAAGGGATGTGTCAACCAGGACTCAGTCAAGCACTGAAGAAACA